TACAAAAGTCAACTCAGCAAATGTAGTGAGTGTAATATACAATAAATAGGGTTAAAATAATACGACGGCATTAAATCAGTCTCAAAACAGTCTTGCTTAGGGCGTCCGATGAGTGGATGATTGCCTCGTAGACGATGCTGTGATGGAAAACTCATTTGGCGGAGTCAAAAATGTTTAATCACTAAATATATCTCCGCATCTCAGGGGAGGCCCAGGTGTGCAGCATCCTGTCTCACACAGGGGCCAGCCAATTCCTCTGGAGGGCCAACAAGAGGGCACAGAGGCCGAGGCCTTCCCCTAATGTTAAGAATGTAAGAAGAGCCCTGCTGGGTCAGACCAGTAGTCCATCTAGTCCAGCATCCTGTCTCACACAGTGGCCAGACAGTTCCTCGGGGAGTCAGGCCAACAAGAGGGCACAGAGGCCGAGGCCTTCCCCGAATGTTAAGAATGTAAGAAGAGCCCTGCTGGGTCAGACCAGTAGTCCATCTAGTCCAGCATCCTGTCTCACACAGTGGCCAGACAGTTCCTCGGGGAGTCCAACAACAGGGCAGGGAGGCTGAGGCCTTCCCCTAATGTTAGGAATGTAAGAAGAGCGCTGCTGGATCAGACCAGGGGTCCCTCTAGTCCAGCATCCTGTCTCACATAGTGGACGGCCAGTTCCTCCGGAGGGCCAACAACAGGGCACAGGGAGGCTGAGGTCTTCCCCTAATGTTAATAATGTAAGAAGAGCCCTGCTGGGTCAGGCTAGTGGTCCATCTAGTTCAGCTTCCCGTCTCACACAGTGGCCAACCAGTTCCTTGGGAGGACCAACAAGAGGACACAGAGGCCAAGTCCTAATGTTAAGAATGTAAGAAGAGCCCTGCTGGATCAGACCAGGGGTCCATCTAGTCCAGCCTCCTGTCTCACATAGTGGCCAGCCAGTTCCTCTGGGGGGCCAACAACAGGGCAGGGAGGCTGAGGCCTTCCCCTAATGTTAGGAAATGTAAGAAGAGCCCCGCTGGATCAGACCAACAGTCCATCCAGTCCTGCATCCTGTCTCACACAGTGGCCGGCCAGTTCCTCCGGAAGGCCAACAACAGGGCATAGAGGCCGAGGCTGAGGCCTTCCCCGAATGTTAAGAACGTAAGAAGAGCCCTGCTGGATCAGACCAGGGAGGGTCCCTCTACCTTCCCCCTGATGTTGCCTTCAGAAGTTGACTGCCCTTGACTCATCCTGGCTAGCAGCCACTGACAGACCTCTCCTCCGTGACTCCCCCCTCCAAAATAGCCATTTTCTCCGGGGGAACTGGTCCCTGCAGTCTGGAGATCACTCGTCGTTCTGGGAGATCTCCAGGCTCCACCTGAAGGCTGGCAACCCTATGCTGTCGGGAGTGGCTACAACTCCCTGGCACATCCGGCAAGGTGAGGCAGCGGGCTGTCATCCCACATGGGAACCGGAGCCCCTCATGTTCCTTCCATCCTCATTCCCCTGGCAACTTTAAACAGGGTGGGAGTTCGGGAATCCCTTTCGGGTGAGTCATTCCATTGCTCCGGGGGTCAAGGAGGGAAGGAGCGTGATCTGATCACAGTCCTGGGTGTAGGGTTGCCAACTCTGGGTTTAGAAATCCCTGGAGATTTGGGGACAGAGCCTGGAGACGGTGGGGTTTGGGGAGGGGCCTCAGCAGGATATGACGCCATAGAGCTCACCCTCCAAAGCAGCCCTTTTGTCCAGGGAAACAGATCTCTTTAGCATGGTCGTCATCCTGGGGGATCTCCAGGCCCCACCTGGAGACTGGCAACCCTACCTGGGTGATGCAGGGATGAGGGGAGGGGAGAGCCACAAGGATCTGGGGGGCGCCACTGTTCACTCGGTCACTCCCCCTCCCCCCCAGTATAACAGCTTCGAGCAGCTCTGCATCAACTTCACCAACGAGAAGCTGCAGCAGTTCTTCAACCACCACATGTTCGTGCTGGAGCAGGAGGAGTACAAGAAGGAGGGCATCGAGTGGGAGTTCATCGACTTCGGCATGGACCTCCAGGCCTGCATCGACCTCATCGAGAAGGTGTGGCCACGGGGCGGGCTCTGATGGGTGGCTGGCGGGATGTGGAGACAGAGAGCGCCGAGGCCGTGGCGTGGCAGTTAGAGCAGGGATCGCCGACGGGATCTCCCACGAGGCCACGGCCCCGCCTCTTAAAGGAGGGTTTCAAATAAGTGTTACCCTCAAAACAACTTCGATCCGAAGGTATTGCCTGCCATCTGCAAGAACACGTCTTACTTTAGAAATCTGATGCCCAATGAGTCGCGGGCGCATTTTTTTCGATCAGTTCATTTTTAAAAAAATTGATCCAGCAGAATTGTTTATTTATTATGTTAAATTTCCAGACCGCCCTCCTCTGTAAACAGAGCTCAAGGCGGTGTACATCAAAATGAAACAACTGAAGACCAAGAAGCCCTATGACAGTGGTGGCGAACCTACAGCACGGGTGCCAGAGGTGGCACTCAGAGCCCTCTCTGTGGGCACGCATGCCATCGCCCCAGCCAGGCCCAGACGATCATTAAAGTGTCGAATTCTCTGCCAAATAGTTTTAAGTCAATGAAAGCATTTGGGATTGCTGTCCTTACTTTGTTTGGATCATCTTAAGTTAATGTATGAGTGGTTTTTTCTAAAGTAAAACCTCAGTATTCCGGTTAAATTGCCGTGTTGGCACTTTGCGATAAATACGTGGGTTTTGGGTTGCAGCTTGGGCACTCGGTCTCTAAAGGGTTCGCCATCACTGCCCTATGAGGAAAGGCTGAGAGACTTGGGAATGTTCAGTCTGGAGAAGAGGAGGTTGAGGGGGGACAGGATTGCTCTCTTGAAGTCTTCGAAGGGCTGTCACTTGGCGAAGGAGGGCAGGGAGCTGTTCCTGTCGGCAGCAGAGGAGAGGACTCGCAATCATGGGTTTAAATTAAGGGCGGGAAGGTACCAGCTGGATCTTAGGAGAAACTTTTTTACAGTCAGAGTTGTGCAACCGTGGAATCGGCTGCCTGGGGAGGTGGTGGGCTCCCCCTCACTGGCAGCCTTTAAGCAGCAGCTGGACAAACCCTTGTCAGGGATGCTCTAGGCTGATCCTGCATTGAGCAGGGGGTGGGACTAGATGGCCTTTATGGGCCCTTCCAACTCTATGATTCAATGAATCTATGATTCTAACACACAATGATAAATTAAATACACAAATTAAAGCAATAAAATACAGCAGATACAACAATTAGCCTAATTAGATGGGGCTAGGCGACTTCAAATTGTGCCGCTGCCCCACCGGGAAGGGGGCGGGACAGGAGTGCCTGAACAGATGTGCCAGACCAGATGAAGGCCATCGCTGCTCTCAGTCAAACATCTGGCAGAACTGCCTTACGGATTGCTCACCTCAATGCGGCATCTTCCCTTTTTTGTGGCTTTCCGAAATACCATGGCAGCTTCTCCGTTCAGGTTCTTTTGCTGTCGTTCCAACTCTTCTTCTGTTCGTTCCCCTCCCCCCTTCCTGGCCAGCCCCTGGGCATCATGTCCATTCTGGAGGAGGAGTGCATGTTCCCCAAAGCCACCGACATGACCTTCAAGGCCAAGCTGTATGACAACCACCTGGGCAAGTCGGCCAACTTCGGGAAGCCCCGCAACACCAAGGGCAAGCCGGAGGCCCACTTCTCCCTCGGCCACTACGCCGGCACCGTTGACTACAACATCACCGGCTGGCTGAACAAGAACAAGGACCCGCTCAACGAGACGGTGGTGGGGCTCTACCAGAAGTCGGCCCTCAAGCTCCTGGCCACCCTCTTCTCCAGCTACACTGGCACCGATGCTGGTGAGATGGGGACAAGGTGGGATAAGCGGGCAGGGAAAAGGAGGCGGTGGTCGAAAGATATGGAAAACTGGTACGAGTGGATGGTGGGCAGGTGGGAGAGAGGTAGACCAAACTGGGGTGTTGGGACTTGAGTAGATACAGGCTGATTCCAACACGTCTCCTACAGGGGTCATTTCCTACCGGAGCACGCCGGAGCAGCACTCCGGCAGTAAGGAGCCCAGGGCGCCCCCCCCCCGCCGCCTGAGGGGATTTAAATGTCTTTCTTTCCCTTCCCCATCTGGAGAAGGGAAAGAAAGGCATTTTAAACATGCCTGGGTTCCCAGCCCAATTGGTGCCCCGCGGCCGTGGGGCCCCTGGAGAAGATCGGGCAGGGAACCCAGGCATGTCTGCCTGCCCTTCCTTCCCTTGCCTTCTCCAGCCAGCCCACCACGGTGGGTTGGCTGGGGAGAGGAAGGGGAGGCGGGCAGATATGCCCCCTTTTTTCCCTGAGCCTCTCTGCTTTTGCGGAGAAACTCAGAGAAGGGGGGGGTTAAATGCCTTTCTTTCCCTTCCCCACATGGGGGAAGAAAGGCATTTTAGACACGCCTGGGTTCCCTGCCCGATCTTAAGAAGATGCTTGCAGGCCTGCCCTTTGTCAGGGGGTGTGGCATATGCAAATGAGCTATGCAAATGAGCTCCATCACCTCTCTTTCTACGAAATGACCCCTGGCTTCCTATACACGGGGATGGTTTGCGGCCCAAACTTTGGCTTCTCAGGGACCCGTGGCACTGCCAGCTAGGTTCGAGCCTGTTTGCTTTCCCCTCACTGGCAATGCAGGATGAGGTGACGGTGAATGGCATTACGAGCCACACCTGCCAATCTGCCGGGGTTCCCAAATGTGGGCTGGGAGATTCCTGGAGATATGGGGGGGGGTCGAGCTCGGGGAGGGTGTGTTTTAGGGACCGGAGGGACGTCAGCAGGATATAATGCCACAGAGTCCACCCTCCAAAGCGCCTGTTTCCCCCAGGGGAATTGATCTCTGTAGCCTGGAGGTTAGTTGTGGTTCCGGGAGATCTCCAGGCCCTAGCTGGGGGTTGGCAACCATAACCAGCAGGATTCCCTCTCTCTCCCCCCCCCCCAGCCCCTACATGTATTAGGCTTTCTGGGGACTGGCTTGCTGTTGCCAGAGGAGGTGACGGAGGGATGGCTGGGATGACAAAACACCATAAATAGGCCCCGGATCCATAAAACGATTTATAAGGCCTTGAGGGCTAGACCTGAATAAGCCGCCAGCGTCTCCCCAGCTTGGGATCTTTCTCCGTCAAATCCTGTGTGACTTTTTAATTCCAAAGTCCATTTCTTCCCCCCCATGTATGGGAATAATTCTTAAGACATCTGGATGGATACGGTCCAGTTCTCACTGGCGTGGGCTGCACCACTTCAGTCTTCAGGTGGCAGAGTCGTTTTATGTGAAGACAGAAGACCCCTGCGTTTGGAAAACTAGCATATGGAGAAGGCTAGGCCAGGCTTGGCACTTTCTCTCCCGATGTGCTAGCTTTCCATCCAGAGGGGATTGTTTTGGGCGGAGGAGCAGCCTTTCAACGTTCAGGCAGTTGCAAGTTGGACAGGTGTGAAGACGTCAGGGCGGGGCATTCCTGCCAAGTTGGGGGGCTCACAGAGCAGGTGTGAAGTGTCCCCCTGTCTCTCTACCTCCTCCCCACCCCAGGTGGAGATAGCGGCAAGGGAAAAGGCTCCAAGAAGAAAGGGTCGTCTTTCCAGACCGTCTCTGCGGTTCACCGGGTAGGAGACCAGAGCTTGGGGGCCAGTGGGGTGGAAGGAGGGGACATCTTTACCAAAAGAGGGAGGGGGGATCTCACACCCAGGAGGGCCCTTGCCCGAGGAGAGGGGGGTCCTGGGAAGGCAGACGTGGAAAACGGAGAAGAAATGGCTCCGTGGTGGTACCAAAGCAAGTTTTCCTACACCCGGAAAATCAAGTACTTTCTGGGTATTTGCGCTCTGAATCCGCAAATTTGCCTATCTGGACAGCCCTCTCGCAACGACTGCAATTAGGCCGTCTGAACGTCCTTCTTCCGGTAGTTCCTCCCCCCCCAACTTTCACCATTGTGTGGGGGCGCGGCTTTCTGGACAGTGCCCGGAGCCTTGCCGCGCAAAGCAAGCGGTTGCGCAAGGGATGTGTGATCATCTGAACCCGCTTAAAAATATCCCCAATCAAATCTACAGCGGGAACAAATTGTGGTACGCTTGCCGTGTGGCCACAGCATTTCTCTCCCTGTCTCCCTTTCTGTATCTTATACCTTCTGCAGGAGAACCTGAACAAGCTGATGGCCAATCTGAAAACGACACATCCCCATTTTGTGCGGTGTCTAATCCCCAATGAAAAGAAGGCACCCGGTAAGTAAGCAGGGTGGGGTGGGAGAGGGGCCCTTCTGTTGGGGGCGTTGCTCACAAACTGAGGGGTGTTCCCAGTTCTGTCTCAACATAACCCGAACTCAGCGCCAACCAATCTGTTGTGGTTAGCGTATCAGACCTAGGAACTGGGAGATCCAGGTTCGAAGCCCTACTCTGCCAAGGATGCTTGCTGGGTGACCTTGGGCCAGTCACTGTCTCTGAGCCCGACCTACCTCTTAAGGTCGTTGTTGTGAGGATAAAACGGAGGAGAGGGAAGTGGTGTTGTAAGCCTTTTTGGACACCCGTTGGGGAGAAAAGTAGCGTATAAATGTCTGAACTAAGAAATCGGCATAGATTTGCTTATTTTGCTTACATTTATTCTGCTTGATCTGACCATAGAGAGGGGGGAAAGATTCTGCAGTGGAGCACTGGAAGTCCCACTAGGGTGGCCTCAGCCAAGTGTTTGGGGACTCTTGGCTGCTTCCCTCTTTGTGGTTCTTGTTGGGAAACTGGCAAAATAGTTAAATATTCAGAGACTGCAATGGATCTTTGCTTCACTGGAGAGGAGGCATTTTCTAAGGGAAGGGTTCACAGGAAAGCTACAAAACAACAAAGACACCAATACTACATCTTTACACTTTGACCACATGGTCCACAACAATGGAGATTCTTCCTTTCTTCTTGACCCCTGGAAGGAAATCCCCTGAATGCATTAGCCAATGATTGTTAGAATAGGCTTCACTTTCCCCGGGCTTTCTTCCCATTGGCTCTGTGCCAGGTTCCCTTCCAGGTCAGTCTAAACAATAGCACACAAGGTAAGCACACATTAACCATATAATGACTGGATTTTAGACCTCGCAACACACATATTTCCAACAGTTCTAAAGGCGGATCGGAGCCTGGAAAGATTATTGTTAGTTATACGATGCCATCATCTGGCAAGGCGGATTGATGGTGGGAGAGTGCCACCCACATCCTCGCCAACTTATAGCGACCCTGTAAGATTTTCAATGCCAGAGATGAACAGAGTTGGTTTGCCATTGCCTGCCTCTGCTCAGCAACCCTGGACTTCTGTATCGGTCTCTCATCCAAGTACCAACCAGGGCCGACTCTGCTTAGCTTCCAAGAACTAATGAGATTGAACTAACCTGGACCATCTAGGACAAGGCGCAAGGTGGAGGCGGAGGTGGAGGAGGAGGAGGAGATTGGATTTATACCCCGCCCACTACCCAGAGGAGTCTCAGAGCAGCTTACAAACTCCTTTTTCTTCCCCTCCCCACAACAGACACCCTGTGAGGTCGGTGGGGCTGAGAGAGCTCTGACAGAAACTGCTCTTTTTCAAGAACAGCTGTGCCAGAACTATGGCTTGCCCAAGGTCATCCAGCAAGTGGAAGTGGAGGAGTAGGGAATCAAACCCGGTTCTCCCAGATTAGAGTCCGCCCACTTACCGACACCAAACTGGCTCTAGTACAGAATAACAGACACGAAGACAAGTCTCTGCCCTTAAATCCGGAGAAGAGGGATGAAGATTTGTGGGGTACATGGGAGAAGTACATACCGAAAGAGGACGATGCCTTCCACCCAATCTTCCTCTCTCACCCTCTCTTCTGTCCGCGTTCCGTTTCCAGGCGAGATGGATAACCCTTTGGTCATGCACCAGCTGCGCTGTAACGGGGTCCTCGAGGGGATCCGGATTTGCCGCAAGGGTTTCCCCAACCGAATCCTCTATGGGGACTTCAGGCAACGGTAGGTCTGGAAGTCGACAAAGAGGGAGAGATCCCTTCCTTCCACGGAGGCCATTCACTGTATTACGCAGAGCAGAGAAATGGCTTTCTCTTTAAACTACAGCGGGGGTCCCTGACCTTTTTGCGGCCATGGGCACCTTTGGAATTCTGACACAGAGCGATGGCCTCAACGGAAAAACGGCTACCCCAGGAGGTAGAGCCCACCACAAAATTTCAGGGAGCAAAGTTATGCATTGACTCTGAACAGAGTTTGAGTCCAGGGACACCCCGTGCATATCCTAAGCTAGTGGAACCTCTCCTTTTACTCCTGGGTTTATTACAGCTATAGGCAGACACGGGTCTCCCTCTTTTTTGGAAACTGAAATCCCTGCATTAAGCAGCTTTTGGAATGAACATGCCATGCGTAGGTGGTGATACGCTTTACATGGGCACCATGCCATCTGTGAACGGAGGAGAGTTCTTACCAAATGGTTCCCTCCCCACCAGGTATCGCATCCTGAATCCGGCCGCTATCCCGGACGGTCAGTTCATTGACAGCAGGAAGGGAGCGGAGAAGCTGTTGGGCTCTCTGGACATCGACCACAACCAGTACAAATTTGGGCACACCAAGGTGAGAGGGCAGAGCCCTTGTGGCTCAGGGGGGCATGTGAAGAATGGAGACTGATGTGGCCGCTTGCGAGTGACCCAGAGGCAGCCTGTGTCTTTCTTAGAGGGCTTATCCACACTGCAGACTGAAATGGATTTAACTGTCATTCCTGTAACTCTGGGGAAAGTGGGAGGGGGGGAGAGGTTGGAGAGTTTAGGGAATTCTCACAAAGCATCCTCACCAAACTCGAGTTCCCAGGATTCTTTGGGGCATGCCATGCCAGTTAAAGTGGCATCATTTATGTAGCGTAAACAAGGCTGTGACATATTTTAAGGACCGCCCACTCCCATAGCAGCCTATCTGACCACTGCGATCATCTTCAGAACCCACCTTCCGGTGCTAGGTGGGCGGCAAACTGAGACAGGGCCTTCTTGGTGGTGGCACCCCAACTGTGGAACTGCCTCCCCCAGGGATAGCTGTCTGTCTTCCTCTATTGTTGTCTTCTGCCAGTGGGTGAAGAATTTCTTTGTTTGGTTTGGTATTCCCTTGCTAACTCTCATTGGCCTTCCTTCCTGTCTGTGATGTTTTATCTAATTTTATTTAACATTTAATAAATGTTTTGTCTAATTGTTTTAAATATTTTATTTATTTAACATTGTTTTGATAGTTCACAGTTTTGGGGACCCTAAATTGTATACAAAGGCAGCCTACCAATGTTTTAAATTAAATAAAATAAATAGAGGTTGATTTTCCACAGATGTTGTTTGCCCCACTCTCGCCTGATAACAGCCTCTCTTTTCTGCACTGTGTGGGGAACTGAGGCAGACCAAGGGCCCACTTTTTTCCTGTCAGAGGTCTCGTCCTTCCCTTTTCTTTTTTTTTTTTAAAAGGGTTTTTTTAAAAAATTGATACATATAAAACAGACAATCAACAGACAACATACAAACATAGAAACATAAAAAAAAATTGGGGAAGATTCATTATATCATTTTTTCCATGTTGTCATTTTACCTCATACTGTAATTAAAGGATTCGTTTCTTTTTGTACACCTTATAATTTCGATAATGTTAATAAACACCTTTTATTCACGGGTATATATGTAGTTCTTATTCCATTTAAGTTCGGCTGTAAGTCTAGGAATTCAATATGTTATGTTCCTCTGTCCATTTATAAACTCTTGGCCATGTGTCCTCAAAATCTGTTATTTTATCTCAACATTAAGGTTAGGTTATCCATCTCTGCAGTTTCCAGTATTTTACTTTTAATTTCTTACTTTGAAGGGGTCTCACTTCTTCTCCAGTGTTTAGCATATAATATTCTTGCTGCTGCTACAATAAAAGTCTTGTTTTTTTATATTTAGAGGCCTTGTCCTTCCAATAGCTGTGTCACAGGCAGAAATTCAACTGGAATGGCTTTTCATAGGTTACTGTGAACAGGGCAGATCATCAACTGAGGCGGCTGTCTTCTTAAATGTAACCAGATGTCCTCCTCACATTGACACATCTACCCTACTCGCCTCCCCCCCGCAGGTTTTCTTTAAGGCTGGGCTGTTAGGCCAACTGGAGGAGATGCGGGACGAACGCCTTTCCCGCATCATCACCCGCCTCCAGGCCCGGGCCCGGGGCCAGCTCATGCGCATCGAGTTCAAGAAGATCATGGAGCGCCGGTGAGTGCCAAGCGGACCTTGTATGCATCACAGGAATCATTTTAGATTTTCACAGGTCGGGGAAATGGGAAGATTTCACAGTAAGGCCTGGAAATCTTGGTTATATTCAAGGTTAAATTGTCAGACAGAGCAATGGGGTTGGATCCACTGGCTGCTTTCTGCCGGGTCAGGAATCCGACCCATTCCTTGTGTTCTCCTCCCCCTTCTATGTGCCAGTTTGGTGTAGTGGTTAAGAGCCCGGGTTCTAATCTGGAAGAACCAGGTTTGATTACCCACTCCTCTGCATGCAGCTGCCGGTGCAACCTTGGGTCACTCACAAGCACTCTCAGAGCTGGTTCTCTCAAGGGCAGTCCTCGAAAGACCTCTCCCAGCCCCACCTACCTCACAGGGTGTCTGTTGTGGGGAGGGGAAGGGAAAGGATATTGTAGGCCACTCTGAGTGAAGGGCAGGGTATAATTCCAATCCCTTTTTCTCGTCCAATAAGTCTAGCATCAAAAATCAGCCGCCCTGAGCCTGCTGTGGCAGGGAGGGCAGGATAGAAGCCAAATAAAATAAATAAATAAATAAATAAATAATTCATAGAGGTCAAACATTCGCTCTTTTCTTGTGCATTTGGCCAGGGTTGGTGTCAGGGGTCGGCACAGATGGGCAATTGCTGTGACCCCGGAAAGGCTCAACTTTAACCACTGCTAGACTTCTGTCTCTTATTCAGTTCCCTCCACATGATTTTTGTCCCTCTTGCCTCCTTTGACCTGCCCCTCCGCTGGCCACTCTTTTTCTGACCATCCGTGGTGGTGGAACCTGGCTCCTTCTCAGGGGTCATTTCGTAGAAAAAGAGGTGCAGGAGCTCATTAGCATAACTCATTAGCATAACTCATTTGCATATGCCACACCCCCTGACATCACCAGAAGGGTGTCAGAAGGCAACACCCACCGCTCAGGCTCCACTGGACTGTTTTGGATTGCTAGCTATTGCGGGGGGGGGGAAGCACACAGATCTGCCCTCACAGAGGAGGGAGAGCTTGTACCTGAATAAAACCTGGTCTTAAAAGTGCCACTCTTGCTCCTTGGATTGCTATAGGGGGTCTCTGCAACTTACCTGGCTGTTTCTTGCTCCTTGTAGCCGGGAGCTGCTGGGAGCAGGGGGCGGGGCTTGTTGCATGTGCCCGCCCCCTGGGCTCTTTACTGTCTGAGCTCCACTCCTGTGCGCTCCTGCAGGAAATGACCCCTGCTCCTTCTTATCCGCCCTCTGCTAGAGCAGGGTAAGGCAGCTGGTTACAGATCCTTGCCACCCTCAGTCTGCCTGCCTGCCTGCCTGCCTGTCTGTGTGAGTGAACAGCTACGGCAGCCAGGTGCTGCTGCCTCCTGCTGGCATCTCACAGAGTCCTCCCCAAAGCCTGGAGCTGGCCCCGTGCTTGGCATGCGTAGCTGGTATCCCTCATCCATAGCCCAAAGCAAGGTAAGACACGCCCGGTTCCTTTGGAGTGCAACTTCCTACCTCTGTCTCCTGTCTGTCTGCACAGGGATGCCCTGCTGGTGATTCAGTGGAACATTCGAGCCTTCATGGGGGTGAAGAATTGGCCGTGGATGAAGCTGTTTTTCAAGATCAAGCCGCTGCTGAAGAGCGCAGAGACCGAGAAGGAAATGCAGGTGAGACTCCTCATGAGGAGGGAAGGCAGAGACCGAGAACCAGGGCTTTTTTTCTGGGGGAACATACTGGGATGGAGTTCTGGAACCTCTTCGACAAAATTCTTTCAAAAATGTTTAAAAGTTCCGGAGTTTTCAGTATACAGATCAAAAACTGCATTTCCCTCTTGAGAGTTCCAGCACCTATTTTAAAAAAAAAAAAAAAATCTGTGCCGAGAACAGACAAATATGAATGAACCCATGAAGCTGCCTTATACTGAATTAGACCACTGGTCCATCAAAGGCACTCAGACTGGCAGCAGCTTTCCAAGATCTGCCCACTCAGACTGGCAGCAGCTTTCCAGGATCTGTAGCAAAGTTCTTTCATATCACCTACTGCAAGTTCTTTTTCACTAGCGGTGCCGGGGATCGAACCTGAGACATCCTGCATGCCAAGCAGATACTCTACCACTGAGCGACAGCTCCATTGGAGAAGCAATCCAAAAGCAGAAAGGGATTTTCTTTTAAAGGCCTGCAACATATAATCGACCAGTCAATGAAAAAGCTTTTATGGATAAAATTCTGTGCCACAGACTGAAAACAGGTAGAATACAAGAGGTTGCCGGCCCTGTGGGCCGAGCAGGCAAGATCTCAAAGGGCCATCAGCCAAGCATGCTAGGGGAGAAATTACTTCTCAGTACAAGCTATTGTTATGAGCAGGGTGACTTCGAAATTTGAAGGTGAGATATACAGCCAGTGGGCAGCTGGGTGAATTTGGAAGGAGGTGAGCATGGGATTATGGCTCGGTGGTGCATATGCTTTGTGTGTGGAAGGTTTCCGTTTCAATCCCTGACATCCCTAAAGAAATGATCCTACTCTGTCTGAGATCCTGGAGAGCTACTGTGACGTCCTCCTTATTGGGGAGGACTATTTTCACTTTAAAAGTTCTCTTTATTATGTTTAACTGGGTAGATTCTGCTGCCACCAGGAAATTTTAAGGATTTCCAAACCTTTATACTTCTACTGTTGCTCTTTTTAGTTTGGTAGACCGAGTTCAAGGCTTACGGGGAACTATGTGGTCCTGAGAAGTATTTCATTCAGAGCTGGTATAAACTTAAATAAAAGAGGATTTATTGAAATAAATACTAAATAAGAAGGTGATATAATGTAACTAGTAATGTGTAAATGATGTACAATTTCTTTGGTATCAGACTCAATCTTTTCCCTCACTGACAGGGATCTTTTCATGTAACTTTGTAAAACTTGTTTATCTCAATGCCATATATGTTCACTGTTTTTCTCCAGTTATGACACTCAGACTTTCCTTTAACTTTACTTCACTTAAACTTTACTTTACCTTTCCTATACATTCAGCTTTCTCACTGAACAACCGCAGCTGTCCACTTCTAACTGCTTCAACACAGAACTAACTAACTGAACATCAACTGTCAACATCTAACTGAAACTCTTGACTGACTCACATCCACCCAGATTCACTTCCAAAACCCCTCCCCCTCTCTGTCAACCACGAATCATACCACACTTGCCTCTCTCAATCACTCTAGTCTATCTACCACAGCCATGCAACCAAACTTTTAAAGAGAGAGACACACACACACAGAAACAGGGAATCGTTACAGCTACTCTTTGCCTGAGTAGATTATGTTGAGCCACAGAGAATACTGGCCTGATTCAGTATAAGGCAATTTCCTGTGTTACTTATACTTTCCAACATGGGCTACCACTGAATTGTTCATGCAGTTTCTTGGGGCAACACGATACATTCAGCATATATAAACTTTGCATCTAGAAAAAGAGCCCGTCAATGCTGAACCTGTCTCCTTGACATCTTAGTTTTCTACATACAAAGCAATTTAAATATGCAATCCCCGCGCCTGTGGTCTCAAGTGAGAATAGTCCAGAGAAAAGCCCCGCAGCTTCATTCTGCCGCTTGTGCAAATCCGCCTCCTTTAAGACAGCTACGGCTGACCGAGACCTGACCCTCTGCTTGCTCCTGTATAGACAATGAAGGAGGAATTTGCAAGGCTTAAAGAAGCGCTGGAAAAGTCAGAGACCCGGAGGAAGGAACTGGAGGAGAAGATGGTCTCTCTGCTGCAGGAGAAGAACGACCTCCAATTGCAAGTGCAGGCGGTGAGTGCATCTCAGGGTTCCCCGACATGGTGCCCGTGGGCGCCACGGTGCCTTGCCGGTACTTCCCTTGGCACCTGCCGAGCTTTTCAGAAAGTGGGTGGGGCCACTGTAAGACAGGCCTTATTAATGGCTGCCCGTATTCAGAAGAAGAAGAAGAGTTGGATTTATACCCAGCCCTTCACTCGGAGTCTCAGACTCCTTCCCTTCCTCTCCCCACAACAGACACCCTATGAGGTAGGTGGGGCTGAGAGAGCTCTGAGAGAACTGCTCTTGAGAGAACAGCTCTGAGAGGAGTTGTGACTGACCCAAGGTCATGTGCGGAGTGGGGAATCAAACCAGGTTCTCCAGATTAACCACTACACCAAACTAGCTCTCAGATGAAAGGGTTTTCCACTGGAGAATTGTTGAGCACTTGGGCTTTTCTTGGTTAGTGTATTGTTCTATTTCTCCTTCAGGCTTTCCTTCTCCACAGGAGGTGAGAGGAGGGAGGTGTTCATTCAGCTCCACCTCCTGTGGCAGCCATTTTGGGTTTGTCTCTACCTCCTGTGGCAACCATTTTGGATTGGCACTCACCAGAAGAAGAAGAAGAGATTGGATTTATACCCCACCCTTCACTTGGAGTCTCAGAGCGGCTTACAAACTCCTTTCCCTTCCCCTCCCCACAACAGACACCCTGTGAGGTGGGTGGGGCTGAGAGAACTCTGACACAAACTGCTCTTTCAGGAGCAGCTGAGCCAGAGCTTGTGACTGACCCAAGGTCACATCAGCAGGTGAAAGTGGAGGAGTGGGGATTCAAACCCGGTTCTCCCAGATTAGAGTCCACACACTTAACCACTATACCAAACTGGCTCCAAACCACCCCCGGTCAAAATTCCAAATATGCCCACAGGCTCAAAAGGCCTGGTGTACCTTGACCTCCATATTTGCTAGGTGGTTCTGCTCTTGGTTTACCTGTACATATAGACTCCGATAGAGGTTTCCACTTTGTTGATCTGGTCATCCACGCCCTTTGCAAGGCCCTGAAAATAAAATGGAACTAACATACACTTTACCACTCTCAAAGCTCAGGGAAAGTAGAGCAAAAAAACCAGTGACATTACGCATGGGCAGAGCAAATTGTGCACTGAGACAGTGGCCAGGACCTCTACCCTTAGTCCTCACACACATGAGAGGAGGAGGAGGAGGAGATTGGATGTATACCCCACCCTTCACTACCCAAAGGAGTTTCAGAGCAGCTTACAATCCCTACCCCTTCCCCTCCCCACAACAGACACCCTGTGAGGTAGGTGGGGCCGAGAGAGCTCTCTTGAGGACTGCCCTTGAGAGAACAGCTCTGAAAGAACTTGTGACTGACCCAAAGTCACACCAGGAGCTGCAAGTGGCAGAGTGGGGAATCAAACCCAGTTCTCCCAGATTAGAGTCTGTGCTCTTAACCACGACACCAAGCTGTTCTACTAAGGCCCAGTGTCCTAAGTCTCTTTGAAATTGTGATAGGCCATCCTATGTGCCTACCGCATGCTCCCCGTTTCTTCACCCCCAGGAGCAAGACAACCTCAACGACGCAGAGGAACGCTGCGACCAGCTGATCAAGAACAAGATCCAGCTGGAGGCAAAAGTGAAAGAGATGACCGAGCGGCTGGAGGACGAGGAGGAGATGAACGCCGAGCTCACGGCCAAGAAGCGGAAGCTGGAGGACGAGTGCTCGGAGCTCAAGAAGGACATCGACGACTTGGAGTTGACTCTGGCCAAGGTGGAGAAGGAGAAGCACGCGACAGAGAACAAGGTGTGCACAGGACTGGCGTGAAGGAAGGCTGGGATGGTGAGACGAGAAATGTTAGAGATGGGCTGGGCCGGACCGAGAATCCAGAAGACGAGTCGAGTCTTCGTCAAGCAGGCTCAGTCTTGTGGAGAGGACTCGCACTGTTCCCTCTAAGCTGAGTCAATGTGAGCTAGCTCACAGTTTTCTAGCCTCCGGCTCCCAGATTTTTGTCTTAGCTCCGGAAGGAGGGCTCCAAAGCAAGCTAATCTATGCCATGGCCAAATCGCTGGCTCACAACTTTAATGCCAGTAGCTCACAAAGTAGAATTTGGGCTCACAAGACTCCACAGCTTAGAGGGAACATTGGAGAGGAGGCACGTTGAAAGTTGATTATTTGCTTGGTTTGGCGTTGTCAAAAAGCGGTTGAATTGGGTTCAGTCTCCAGAACTCCCTGAGCTACACAGGGATCCTTCCAAAGTTGGATAATTTGATCAGGTCAAGTATGTGTAGTCAAGGCAGACTGAGTTTGAGTGGAGTTGTGTATCTCCAAAATTGTCTGGGCTGGATTGGTTGTTTGGAAGTAATAAATTTGGGATTTTTCATTAAGAAAAAATTCTTCCAGGCCATTTTGGGGTGAGTTGTCATGGGTTGTGTTCAGCGATCCCTCTAAGCTACTTTGTGAGCACAAAATTCTACTTTGTGAGCTGCTGGCATTAAAGTTCTGAGCGAGCAATTTGGCTCCTGCATAAATTAGTTTGCTCCGGAGCCCCATCCTTCCCTGAGCAAAGACAAAAATGTGTGAGCCGGAGGCTAAAACACTGTGAGCCAGCTGACACTAACTCAGCTTTGAGGGAACACTGGTTGTGTTGAGTACTGGAGGTCTACTGGCTTCTGGAGAAAAATTGCATTGGGTTTACTGGTTGGCTGGGTGAGGCTAGGTTTGACAAGATGCACGCAGAGGTTCTCAGACGTGTGTTAGATACTTTCCCGTCCATTTGCACTCTCAGGACTAGCTGTGCGATATGGGATTGCGTGTGGGCCAAAGCACCATAGTTTGACCTCATTTTGAAACCTTCCACCTGGGACCCCCGCATGTGTGTTCCAAGTTCTCCCACCCCAAAAGTCCTCACAGGCAATCACTTCACTTCAAAGAAGATGCTGTAAGGTCAGCTCCATGCTTGAGAGGATGGAGCATAATGGCAGGGTCTCAGTTAATTACTCTCAGCATTCCACAGTTAAGGATATATCTACCCATCAGTCTCCAATTTTGACGAATGTATTTCCTTCATTATGTCCCCCCCCCCCACCAGGGATCTCTAAAAAAAAAATGAAAACAAATGGTGACCATATAAACTAAGCTTGTTTTTTCCTGTTTGGTCCTTGAATCTGTTAAATGTCTTCATTATGCTGTACGCTAATTTACTGCTCGCCCTCTACTTATATGTATGGACTGGTAATTTCCATTTCATTGTACCTGAGGAAGTGTGCTTGCACACGAAAGCTCATACCTTGAATAAAAGTTTGCTGGTCTTAAGTGTGCCCCGCTGGACTCTGACTTTGTTCCTCGCATCTTGTTCAGGTGAAAAACCTCACAGAGGAGATGGCAGGCTTGGATGAGATCATCGCCAAGCTGACCAAGGAGAAGAAGTCCCTGCAGGAAGCCCACCAGCAGGCCCTGGACGACCTCCAAGTGGAAGAGGACAAAGTCAGCACACTCTCTAAAGCCAAGCTGAAGCTGGAACAGCAGGCGGACGACGTGAGTACATGAGCCGAAGCCGGGAGCCTCAGGGATACAAACAGACGAAGCTGCCGTATCCCGAGTCGAGATCTTGGGCAAAGACACGGGTCTTTCCCAGCCCAACCATCTGGTGGTGGTAGAGGGTCCTATCAAGTCACCGCTGACTTAAGAAGATAAGAACATAAGAGAAGCCAATGCTGGATCAGGCCAATGGCCCATCCAGTTGAACACCTGTGTCACACAGTGGCCAAAAATACCAGGTGCCATCAGGAGGTCCAGCAGTGGGGCCAGGACACCAGAAGCCCTCCCACTGTTGCCCCCCCCCAAGCACCAAGAATACAGAGCATCCCTTGCCCCAGACTGAGAGTTCCTCTCTATGCCTTGTGGCTAATAGCGACTGATGTTTGTTTATCCAATCACCTCTTGAAGCCGTCCATGCTTGTAGCTGCCGCCACCTCCTGTCGTAGTGAATTCCATGTGTTAATCCCTCTTTGGATGAAGAAGGACTTCCTTTTATCCAGGGCTTTTTTTGTAGAAAAAGCCCAGCAGGAACTCATTAGCATAATAGGCCACACCCAAGAACAGAAACTCATTAGCCTATTAGGCCACACCCCATGCCTTCCCTTGGCTTGCCCGGGTGACCCGCAGCTTAGAGGGAAAGGAGGGCAGTTTAAACTGCCTTCCCTTGGCTTGCCCAGGCACCCCCGCAGCTCCAGGGAGCCCGGGCAAGCCGGCCCTTGGACAGGCAGGGGGGGGGGTGTTAAAAGCTCTCCCCCCACCCCCGC